ACACGCTCTGTGGCCCCGTAAGAAGCTCCACCGAAGACCCTAGGGAGCTCCACCGAAGGCCCCAACGGCAGCGCTCGCATGCGGTTCCGCCTTCCATGTCGGCAGAGCCCTCACATGCATCGTGGCCCCATTGGGACATACGCCTGAGTCCGCAGTGGCAGCGCCGGCATGCGGCTCCTCCCCCTCATGTCGGTACACCCCTTCTACGCGTCGTGGCTCCACAGAGCTCCACCGAAGGCTCCAGTGGCAGCGCCCGCATGCGGTTCAACCCTGCTTTTCGGCGCACCTCTCATATGTTTCGTGGCCCCACAGGGAGTTCCGCCTAAGGCACCAGTGGCAATGGCCGCATGCAGTTTCTCCCCCCATTGCTTTGCACCTCTCACACACTTCGTGGCGTCATACGGAGCTCCACCGACAGCTCCAATGGCAAGGCCCGCATGGCGTACCCGTGTCTTTTGTTGCACACCCGTCACACGCGTCGTGGCCCCATACAGAGGTCTACCGAGGAAGGTATCCACAAATGCGTTACTCACAACTGCACATGGTTGGGACCTTCGCCCGGATAACTGCACCACCCCTCTGGGCGAAGGTGGTATAACGAGTTGCGCCTTTTCTTTGCAAAAGCTCCCTTCTTCCCCTCTCGGGGAAAGGGTTACCACTGCTCCTTAATAGTACACACCCCCTCCCAACCCGACGGTGGGCAAACCCGGGACATGCCCCCCACCCCACTCTCCCTGACAAAAAAAATGATTCACTGCGTGGAGATTTTCCTGTCATGTGTCGCTGGAGAACTTGCTGTCAGTGAGCACCTGGTGTGAGAGCGAGTCAGCTTGGACGACGGGCGCGGCGGAGACGACGGCGACAGCGACGTCTTCAGTGACGTCCTCCTTCTGTGGTCATCTTCCAGGAGAGATGAAGAAAGCACCAGTGGAAGCGCGAGGTGCAGGGGACCGCCAAAGGAAAGAAGACTGAGTGAATCTGAGTATGAGCGATCTGAATGTGAGTAAGTCTGAATGTGAGTGACCCTGGGTGTGGATGAGTAGACGTGTCAGTTGGGCAAGTCTGGGTGTGAGTGAGCATGAGTATGAGTATAATGAATACAAATCTGAGTCTGAACGGGTCTGAGCACGAAGGAGTCTGACTACGAGTGACTCTGAGGGTGGGTTGGTCTGGGTGTGAGTGATTCTGAGCGTGAGTGAGTCTGAAAGTGGGTGAGTATAAGTATGAGTATGATGAGTATGAATATGAGTCTGAGTGGGTCTGAGTACGAGTGAGTCTGGGTACGAGTGAGTCTGAGGGTGGGTGAGTCTGAGTGTGCGTCGGTAGGAGCGTGAGTGGGTCTCAGTCTGATAATGATGAGTACGAGTCTGAGTCTGAGTGAGCCTGAGCACGAGTGACATTGAGAACACGTCAGTCTCGCCTTAGACATCGTCAGAATCTGCTCAACACGCAGACGAATCCGGCCACCAAAACAGGCACACCGCCCGACGCATTCTCGCAACCTGGGCCCCCTGAGGTGCGACAGCCAGCGCCTCGCCCGAGACATCCTGAAACACTGCTTCGAAAACTGATGACTTCGGGTGGTGGTGCAAGCAAACCGCTCGAGACATCCCCGCAATCTGGGCGCAGACGGAGGAAACAAATACCCCCTGGTACCCCCCCCCCCCCCTCCGGGAGTGCTGAAACCAACGCCTCGCCACCAAACATCCTCAGAATATGCTCCGTCATCATCACCATCATCAGCAGCATTATCATCAGCAGCATTACCAACATTATCATCATCAGCATCATCATCATGATCATGATCATGATCCTCATCACGATCCTCATCACATTCTCATCATCGTAGTCATCACCGCCATTCATCATTCACCTCCTCTCTAACCTCAGCATCGTCGTCATCAACATGATCATCGACATCATCATCACCACCATTTACCATCATCACCATCAACATCATTATCTTCATCATCATCAACATGATCACAGTCATCATCACCATCATCCGCATCAACATCACCATCATCATCACCACCATTATCATCATCGTTATCGCCATCTGCCAACCGTGACAGCGCCCTCTAACATCGTCATCACCATCATCGTCATCACCATCATCATCCGCATCGTCATCACCACCACCATCAGTATCAGCATCATCATCAGCACCAGCACCAGCATCAGCATCAGCATCATCATCATGAGTGTCATCGTCATAGTCGTCACCATCAGATCCTAACCAAAGAGTGACCCTGAGTGTGAATCTGGGTGAGGGAAAAAAGGGAGGAGGAGCAGGAGGAGGAGGAGGAGGAGGAGGGAGGTGAGGATCGAGTCGGCGAGGTCAGAGCAATAACAAGAACCCCATCTTCAGGAGATTGGGATAACAATCCAGAATGCACATTGCCTCCAAATCTGGAGTCTGCGCGGGCGCACCGCGACCCCTTTGCACTGGTGTTTGACAAAAGCGGCGAGGGTGTCGTCATATTGCTCGCTATGAGCAGGCCAACAATCCGTTCCAAAAAGCAGCACGGGCAGCACCCTGCCTCTACATCTGGAGCGCGCGCGGGCGCCCAGCGGCCAAGTTGCAATTGGCTCTTGGAAGGGACGGCGGTGGTGCCGGCAGATTGCTCGCTGCGCGCAAGCCCACCAGCCCTGCCAAACAGCGATACAGCGTGCACTGTGCCTTCACATCCGGAGCGTGCGCAGGCGCCCCGCGACCACTTTGCATGGGTTTTTTGCCAAAGACGGCAGGTGTGCCGTCATATTGGTCGCTGCGCGCTGGCCAGCCATCCCTGTCAAGAACAATGCAGGATGCACTCTGCCTCCGCATCTGGAGCATGCGCGGGCGCCCCGCGACTACTGTGCACTGTCTTGTTGACAAGGGGCGGCGGGGGTGCTGGTGTATTGTGTAAGCGTGGAGCACGTGCCGCACCTGTCGCGCCTGGCTCGCTTGGGCCTCTTGGGTGCCTGGTGCACCTGGAACCCGTGTCGCACATGGCATGCGTGGCGCTCCTGAGCAATATGCTGAGACCCCCTCGGGTGTTAATCCCATCAGCCCTCGGGGCGTCGGTGGTTTAGAGAGTTTCCTCCTCCACCCCTCCTTCTTCCCCTTCGGGGAGGGGCTTACCCCTCCCCCATACCCCCTCCCCTGGACCTGGAGGGGGGAGGGGGGGGTCGCGAGGTGTCAGGGCGTTCAAAACGGCCACGGCGAGGAAGCCAAAATCATTGATTGTACTACAATCGGGGCGTTGACCTAAGGAACCCTAAATCAGAAACGAGGCCCCTTTTCTCCATAAGTCAAACTTTGATTTCCCATCGAAAATCTGAAGAAAACCTAGGGCGAACTGTGAAACAATGAAGGAACACGGAGCCCCTCCCCAACAAGAGTTCCTTCTTCAGCGCCCCGACTGTATGGTTTTGGCCCCAGAGGACGGCGGGAGTGAGCGAGACGGCTTGCGGGCGGAAGGGGGGGCCTCGACCCCTCCCACCTGCCCCCGTCCCCTGGGGACGGGGCGCCCCACGAGGCGTCAGGGGGTGCTTGTCGGTCCAGGATGGGCCCGAGAGGGCCTCAGAGAGCTCAGATGGCTTCCAAGAGGGAGCCAGACGTTTCAACATGGTTCAAGATAGCCACCGACATGCCTCCCAAACTCCCCGAGTCAGCCCCAAGACGGCTCCGAGTGATCTTCGGGTGCCCCGAGGCACCCCCCCGGATGGCCCAGCTCCTTCAACAACCTAAGGAACAGTACTGTTGGTTGCCTTCTAGCCTCCTCGCTTCCGATGGGCTTCTGGGGCTTCAAGACGGCACCAAGATTGCCCAGGAGAGCTCAAGAGGGTTCTAAGAAGGCCCCAAGAAGGCCCCAACAGCGCCCCGTGGTGGCCCAGGACCCGCCTCTGTTTGAGCCACAGGACCGATGATCGCCCCAAGAGGCATCCAAGACTCCCGATTTGCATGGTCTTTGAAGCGTTGTTGCGTTGCCCGCCCCCCCTGCAACGGCCCTGCAGAGACCCTACAAAGAGGGGGCCCCTCTCTTGCGAAGCCTTGGGCCCCACTGTCTAAACAGAAGGGGGGTACGAAATTCAGGTCCCCCCTTGAAATCTCAAAGCTCGTGCCGCGCCTCTCCTCCTCATCCTTTGCCCTTTTTCCTCCTCCTCCTCCTCCTCCTCCTCCTCCTCCTCCTCCTCCTCCTCCTCCTCCTCCTCTCACCTCCAAGATGGTCCCAGAAGGTTTGCAGAAGGCTCGCAAGACACATCGCGGGGATATAAACGAAGCAACCGTGGCATGGGGACATGTGTTACACCACCAAACACATGTTCCCGCTGCTTTCTGCTTGCCCTCCGACACGCGTCCACGGCGGTTGTGCAACTGCGTGCTGCCGCGTCCCTGCTCCAGGAACTCCCCTGGCAGGCACTCCTGACTGGGCTGGTGGGGATACTTTTTGGTCAACGGCCTCGTGAAGCGGGTCAAAAGGCGTCCAAACTCTAGCCAGGCCACGACTAGGCAGCGGAAAAACGGGAAAACAAGACAGGCGCAGCAAACGGGCGGCAGCTCAGAAAGGCGAAAAGAGACCCAGTCCCGGCTGGTGGGGATACGCCAAGCGACGAGAATTGATTTGACCACGGCATAAGAAGAAACGCCGCAAAATCGGGATCCCCAAGATCGAACTCCGCCGAGAGAGGAGGAGCAGCAGGATCGAGGTCGTGCACGAGGGGGGCCGCCCACGACGGGGGGGGGGCGCAAACCATGGCCCGAAGCGCGTGCGCGGCCCAGAGGGGGCCAGGGGGGCGTATTGCAATAGGACGAGGGGCCATGACATCTCATGACCCCGGCCATGCTGTGCACCCCCTCTGGTCAGCACCTCCCCCCGCGGCCGCCCCCGAGACGAGGAGGAGCAGGTGGGAGGAAGGAGCGACCAGCGGAGGAGCGGGGAGCTGGTGACCGGAACCCGTGTCTAAAGCGCGGCGCGCTGGGCGCCGGCTTCGGCGAGCGCCCTGCAGGCTCGTCAGGCCGCGCCCTTGAAGAACTCGAAGCCGAGGAAAGTGATGGCGACCATCGGGAACGTCTTCACCTAAAGCACGACAGGAAACGGCTCTCGCGCGGGATGTCGTAGCGACCTTACTCCGCGGCTTACGCGGGCCGCTGGCGCGGCACGCGACATTGGAGAAGAGGGCGCTTCAACACACCTTACATGGCAAACTTACTAGCCAATGTCAGCACAATCGAACCCGTTCGTTTGCGTCGTTCATATGAGATACACGAAAAACGAACTTCTCAAAAGTAAACTGTCAGAGCTCCGATCAGATTTCTTGGATCGGCACTGATCCCCCTGGCGAAGCCCCAACGCCGTCCCTGGCGCGCTCCGCGCTCCAGGGAAGGGTTTGCAGCGCCGATCCAAAAAATCCGCGCGGAACTCCGAAAGTTCATGTTTTCTCTCAAATCGCCTTGCGCCGAGAAACAAAGGATTGGCTCACTGGGGGGAGACTCGGACGGGGTCAAGAAGAAAACGAATCCTTTCCAGAGAGCGTCCCGGAACGCTCTCGGAGCGTTCGCGTTCCAGAACGCTCTGCGACACAACAGGAATCCTTTGGAAAGCACCACAAAGGGATTCTATTGGATTGGAAATCGCCGCAAAGGGGTTACATTGGAAAGCCTCACGCCAGGAATCTTTTGGAAAACGCAACTAAAGGGTTCGCTTGGACAGCCGCACGAACAGGAATCCGCGGGAAAAGCACCACAATGGATTCCATTGGGTTGCCTCACAACAGGAACCCTTTGGAAAACATCGTTCAGGGAATGATTGAAAGGCATCACAACAGGAATGTTTTGGAAAGCATCACAAAGGGATTCTTTTGGATTGGAAAGCGCAGCAAAGGGACTCGATTGGACAGCCTCACAACAGGATTCCTTTTGAAAGCACTACACAGGGAATTCATTGGAAAACATCGCAACAGGAATCCTTCGGAAGGCGCCACAAAGGGATTCTGTTGGATTGGCCAGCGCCACAAAGGGATTTTATTGGAAAGCCCCACAACACAAATCTGTTGGAAAGCGCCACATACGGATTCTCTAGAAAATCCTCACAACAAGACTCCTTTGGAAAGCACAGCAAAGGTTTTCTATTGGACAGCCTCACAACAGGCATCCTCTGGAAAGCGCCACAAAAGGATTCGAATGGATTGGAAAGAGCAACGAACGGATTTGCATTGGAACCCTTCTCCACAGGAATCATTCGGAAAAAGCGCCACAAAAAAGGAATTCGATTGGAAATCCTCACAACAGCAATCCTTCGGAACGCGCCGCAGCAGGATTTTCTCGGATTGCCTCACAACAGGAATCCGTTGGAAAGCATCGCAATGGGCTTCTATTGGAAAGCCTCACAACAGGAATCATTTGGAAATCACCACAAAGTGATCCTATCGGACGGGAAGAAAAGGCAACAAAGGGATTGTATTGGAAAGCCTCACAACAAAAATCAGCCGAAAAGCACCACAACGGGGTTTTATTGGAAGGCCTCACACCAGGAAAAGTTGCCGCGCAACAAGAACCATTTGGAAAGCACAACCAAAGAATTCGGTAAGAAAGCCTCACAGCAGGCATCCTTTGGAAAGCACCGCACAAGGAATCCCATGGGATGGGAAAGCGCCACGAAAGGATTCGACTGGAAAGGTTCACAACGGGCATCCTTTGGAAAGCACCACAAAGAGGATTCTATCTGAAAGCCGCACATCACGAGTCCGCAGGACAAACACTACTAAGGGATTCTGATGAACTGCATCACAACATGAACCCTTTGGAAAGCATCGCAGTGGGTTTCTATCGGAAAACTTTATAACAGGCACCCCTTGGAAAGCATCACAAGAGGGATCCAATTGGATTGGAAAACGCCTCGGCAAGAATGCTGTTTGGAAAGCCTCACAACAGGAATCCGTTGGAACGCACCTCATAGGGATTCCATTGGAAAGCCTCGCAACAGGAATCGTTTGGAAACCACCACAAAGGCTTCCATTGGAACGGCACACAACAGGAACGACTGCCGCGCAACAGGAATCATTTGGAAAGCGTAACCAAAGGACTCGATTGAAAAGCCTCACAACAGGCATCCGTTGGAAAGCACCACGAAAATAATTCTAGTGGATTGGAAAGTGCCACAAAGGGATTATATCGGAAAGTCGCACGCCAGGAGTCCTTCGGAAAAACACAACTAAGGAATTCTATTGGGCTGCATCACCACATGAATCCTTTGGAAAGCATCGCAGAGGGTTTCTATTGGAAAACCTTACAACAGGCACCCCTTGGAAAACACCACCAAGGGATTCAATTGGATTGGGAAACGCCTCGACAGGAATGCTGTTGGAAAGCACAACAAGAACCCCGTTGGAACGCACCTCATATGGATTACATTGGAAAGCCTCGCAGCAGCAATCTTTTGGATGACGCCACAAAGAGATTCGTTTGGAAAGCCTCACAACAGGAATCCTCTGCATAGCACCACAAAAAGGTTTCTATCGGATTGCCCCACAACGGGAACCCTTTGGAAAGCATCGCAAAGGGCTTCAGCCTCATACCATGAATATGTTGGAAGTCACCGCAGAAGGATTTTATTGGCAGGAAAAGCGCTACAAAGGGATTCGATTGGAAAGCTTCACAACAGGAATCCTCGGGAAAACACCACAACGGGGTTCGATCGGAAAACCTCACAGCAGGAATGGTTGCCGCGCAACAGGAGATCTTGTGGAAAGCACAACCAAAGGCCTCACAACAGGATTTCTTTGGATAGCACAACAAAGGTATAGTGGATTGGAAAGCGCCGCAAAATGGATTCGATTGGAAACCTCACACCAGGCATTTTTGGAAAGCGCCACACAAAGGATTCTATCGGAAAGCCGCACAGCAGGAGACCTTGGGAAACACATTACAAAGGGATTCCACTGTACTGCATCACAGCAGGAACCCTTTTGAAAGGCATCGCAAATTGTGTTTTATTGGAAGGCCTCACAACAGGAATCCTTCGGAAAACACCACAAAAGGATTCTAGTGAATTGGAAAGCGCCACGAAGGGATTCGATTGGAAAGCCTCACAACAGGAATTCTTGGGAACGCACGTCACAGGGATTTCGAGGGGAAGCCCCGCAACGGGAATCCTTTGAAAACGCCGCAGCGGGATTCTGTTGGAAAGCGTCACGCCGGGAATGATTACCGCGCAACAGGAATCACTTGGAAAGCGCGACCAAATGAATTCGATTAGAAACCTCACAACAGGCATCTTTTGCAAAGCGCCAAAGAAAAATTTGATTGGATTGGAACGTGACACACAGAGGTTCTATTGGAAAGCCTCACACCAGGAATTCTGGAAAGCGCCACAATGGGATTCGATTGGAAAGCCGCACAGCAGGATCCCTTGGGAAAAGCACCACACATGGTTTCAATTGGATTGCATCACGGCAGGAATCCTTTGGAAAGCATCGCAAAAGGTTTTGATTGGATGGCCTCACAACAGGAACCCTTCGGAAACCATGACAAAGGGATTCTATTGGATTGGAAAGCGCCACGAAGGGATTCGATTGGAAAGCCTCACGACAGGATTTCGCATCTCGGAGGGAGTCGATTGGAAATCCAACGGGAAGCACCTCACAAGGATTTCGTAGGAAAGCCTCGCAACAGGAATCCTTTGGGAAACACCGCAGAGAAATTTTATTGGATTGGAAAATGACCACAACGGGATTCGATTGGAAAGCCTCACAACAGGAATCTTGCGGAAATCACCACGGAGGGATTCTAGTGGTCTGGAATGAACCACAACGGGATTCCTATGGAAAGCCTCACAGCAGGAATGATTGCTGCGCAACAGAAATCTTTTGGAACGCATTACACAGGGATTCCATTGGAAAGCCTCACAACATGCTTCTTTTGGAAAATACCACAAAGGGATTCAATTGGATTGGACAGCGCCACGCAGGGATTCTATTGGAAAGCCTCACGCCATGAATCCTTTGGAAAACGCAACTAGAGGGTTCTATTGAGAAGCCGCACAACAGGAGTCCGTGGGAAAAGCGCCACAAAGGGATCCCAGTGGATTGCCTCACTGCCGGAATCCTTTGGAAAACATTGCAGCGGGTTTTTTTATGGGAAGGCCTCACAACGGTAACCCTTTGGGAAGCACAGCGAATGGTTTCTTGTGGATTGGAAAGCGCCACAAAGGGATTCGATTGGAAAGCCTGACACCAGGAATCCTTTCGAAAGCACCACGCAAGGATTCGATTGGAAAGCCTTCAAACAGGAATCCTTCGGAAGGCGCCACAAAGGGATTTTGTTGGATTGGACAGCGCCACGAACGAATTCTATTGGAAAGCCTCACACTAAGAATCTGTTGGAAAGCGCCACAAAAAGGTTTCTGCTGGAAAGCCTCACACAAAGAATCCTTTGGAAAGCACCACAACGGAATTTTATGGAAAAGCGCCGCGCAGACCTTCTGAGAATTGACCAAAACAACAACACAAGGAAAAACCAAAAACACCAAAGAAACGAAAGACCCAATGATTCAGCCCTGGGTCTTTGGTTTCGTTGTTTTGGGTGTGTTTCCTTGTGTGTTTAGTTCTTCAGTACCCAGCCTCCTCGTCCTCCAACCTTCCTCCTTCTCCTCCGGTCTCCTCCTCGTGGAGAGGCGTCCTTCTGTGCTGGAGGAATAGATTTGCTTTCAGATGGCTTCCTTCAGAAAGCAGCCCCTGTGTAAGGCTTTTCAAAACGACATCCCTTTGTAAGGCTGCCACCCTTCTGCAGGAGGAGGAGGGGGGGGAGGAGAAGGGGATGAGAGAGAGGGATAGAGAACGAAGAAGATTGGAGGAGGATGAGGAGGATATATGGGATGCATGGAAGAAGAATAGGTATGATCATGTTTTGGGGGGGCTACCATATACATACATGTGTCTATATATATCTCTCTCTATGTATATATGTATATATATAAATATAAATATGTGTATATATATATATATATGTAGATTGGTCGCTCCCCCCCCCCAGCGACTCCCCAGAGCGCTCCAAGCACGAAGCCGCGGTGATCGCTACTGTCCTCCTTGTGCCCTTTTCCAATGTCTCGCTTCCCCTTGTTCGTTCCCTTCCACTTTCCAAGTGCTCGTTCCCTTCCACTCTCCCCATGTCCTTTTCCTCCTCCTTCTGCTGCAACGCAAGAAGCAGATAATACACAGCGTTTTTATATATATTATATATATATATATATATATATATATATATATATATATATGTGTGTAGTAGATATAGGTAACAAATAAATGTTCAAGAGCCGCGGGGTCTCAAAAATGTTCGATGTACCCTCGCACGATGCTCTCCTCGTCCTGGCTTCGCCTCGCGGGCGGCAGACGCCCACGCGCCCGCCCGCCCGCGAGGCAGGGCCAGGGCGCCCCGCCGCGCCCCGCCCAGGGAGCGCCCGCTCTCTCGGCATCGGGACGTGCCGTCCGCCCCGATTGGTGGGCCGACCATGCCAACTCGAGGGCACAGGGCAGCTTTCAATCCATCGGACTTTTACGGATATCGGATTTGTTGTACATGCTGCATGCATGAAGGAATCTCGTTGTTTTTAATGCTAGAAAGCCCGGCAATTTGAGTACATGATCCGCCCTGATTGGTGGGCCGACCGTGCCAAAGCGAGGGTACCCTTAAGTCGGGCCCGTCCCCCTACAGGGGGATTTTCGACGAAAAATAAAAGATACCCCAACGATGCCCCCAAAATGGCAAAAAATACTAAAGATAATCATCAGACTAAGTTTGGAGTATTTCTTTGCTATTTTTGAAGTATTTTTTATACATCGAACTTCTACGAATATAGGACTTCTAATACATGATTGATGTATGATTGAATGTATGCATGCACTCATCGTTGTTTTTAATAGTAAGGCCCTGCATGTTCAATACATGATCCGCACGCGGAGCATGTATTAAAAACGGCACTGTGCCCTCGAGTCCTGGCCATCCCGACCTGTGCAACCCGCACGTCCTTTGGCGTTCTGGGGCCACGCTGCCGTCGGAAGAGTCCTGTGTCCTCTGGGGCGCCCTGTGGAATCGAGTCCGGCTGTGCATCGCCGACCTCGATCGGCGATGCACCTCCCCCGGGGCTCGTGCCAGGTGCCCTGAACTAGGCCTCCCAGATTGGGGTCGGAGCAGATGGGGCCGGAGGAACGCGCCGCACAGGCGATGCATCGGCGATGCGGCTCGATGTGGAGCCCGACTTTCTCCACGCCGGCGTCGCCGATGCACCGCCGACGTCGCCGATGCGTCGGTGATACATCGCCGATGTATGCGGCGGGGGCGGGCGGAGGCCCGGCCCCTCTCTTTTGGCTCTCCCCCCGGGGTCCCAGCGCACCAACGTGCTGGGCCGCGCCCAGCCGCGGCGGCGGCGACGAGGGGGCACCCAGGAGAATGAGGAGGCGGAGGAGGCGGAGGAGGAGGAGGAGGAGGAGGAGGAGGCGGAGGAGGAGGAGGAGGAGGAGGAGGAGGAGACGGAGGAGGAGGCGGAGGAGGAGGGGGAGGAGGGCCAGCCGCCGCTGCCCCCGCTCGCCCTCCTCGGAGCTGCGGCGCCCCTGGTCGCCATCTCGGGCCCGAAGCCCCGCCAGAAGCCCCGAGGGCCCTCCGCCTGCATGATGGCCGCGGCCTCCTGCACCAGCGTGCGCGCTGGCGCGCCAGAGGTGGTGCCCACCACCTCTCGGTGGCAGCTCATGGGAGCCTTCCATACCGTCTTGCCAGGCCCTTGCGAATCGACGCTAAATCGGCGTTAGGTCGACGCTGACGACGCCAATCGACGTTGATCGACGCTAGCCGACGCTAAATCGGAGCTATCTCATCGATTCCCAGACGCCGATCGACGAGAGAGACAGTATTCCGAGGGTATACCAGGCTCCCATGCCTTGCCACCGAACCACCTGCATGCGCCGCCTGACGACGTCGATGGGGAAGGTCAGGGCCGACCCGGCGACGCCGGAGCAGCCCCCCGCGAGGAGCATCGCCAGCGGCGAGGTGTGCGGGATGCCCAGCGCCGCGAGCCTCGAAAGCGAGAGGGTTCGAAAAGTGTGCACGAGGTCGCCCGGCTGGCTAGGGAGCTCGTTGCTGGGCCAGTTTCCCACCACCACTACCATAGGTAGGAAGTGGAGGAGGAGGAGGAGGAGGAGAAGCAGGAGGAGCAGGAGGAGCAGGAGGAGGAGGAGGAGGAGGAGGAAGAGGAGGAGGACCTCCCCATCCTCAATTCTCCCCCGTCCTACCTGTGGTAGTGGTGGAAGATTGGCCCGTCACTCGTGGCATGCTGGACGCCCCAACCTTCCAAGCTTTGCATACAGCGAGCTCCTTCGCTCCCTGGCCGGCCAGGCGACCCGATGTCCGACAATGTGCTTCTCTCAACGCGCGGCCGAAGAGCTCCCGACCCGTTCCCCTGGGGCAGTTTTTCGCCTAGGAGCAATTTCTGATGGTCCTGGAGCCTGAACTGGCCATCGCTCGGACGTCCATTCCTGTGTTTTTTTCGGTTTCGTGCGTGGTGTTTTCGCCAAATGATCAAGGATGCTCCTCGATGGTCCTCGCCGAAAGAAAAATGCACACGTCCGAGCGATGCCAAGTGAAAAAACAAGGGGACGAAACCAGCGAAAACGCCAAGCTCGAAAACACTGGATCGTCGGCGCTCTGGGCCTTCTCTGCTGCATGCGATCGGGTGGACGTACGGTCAGGATGTGCTGCTTGGCGTACCGCGGCGGCGGCCCCGACGACACGCTGCGCAAGGCAGGCTGATAGCGCGTCGCTCCGCTCCACGGGATGGCAGGCTAGGGAGAAAGCTCGCGACCCTGACATTCGCGCGCCGCGCCGGGGCGTGGTGGGCCAAAGCCCGCGGCGCGGCGCGCCGGGCAGACGCTCGCGGGTGCCTCGCTCTGGAAGGCAAGCGGGAACCCGCTCGGTGATGTCGCTTGCACAAGAATCGGGCGTTGACAGAACTGGGTTTAGTGGAACCTGGTTGAGTGATCTGTACCGGGGGCGCCCCCCCGTCCCATTTCCACTAACCAGAACTGACGTCACCCGAAAAAACAACAGCTATGGCAAACCTGGTTTAGTGATTCTGGCCAATTCGAAGGCTCGGGGGCCCTACCACTAACCGGGTCCCCTTACCCAGGGTCCTGGCCATACCCGAAAGAACTCAAGCATGACGATCGGCGGCCCCCCTCGGGCGAGATCGCTGGTACATCAACGATCCTGCAGACGGAGCCACACACAGATCATGCAGGTGCCAGTGTCGCGAGGCAGGAGAGATGAAGGAGGGGAGGCAGCAAATAACCGCGGCTTGAATGAGGAAGAGAAAATGGGATGCGGGCGACGCCACCATGCGAACTGCGCCGCCACGCACACTGCGCCACGTGGGCCGTCGGAGCTCCCTGCGGGGCCACGATACGTGTGAGGGGTGTGCCGAAATTGGTGCGACGCCACTTTGCGAACTGCGCCACTGGGGCATCGATGGAGCTCACTGTGGGGCCACGAAGCGTGAGGGGTGTGCCAAACTGGGCGAGACGCCACAATGCGAACTGCGCCTCTGAGGCCTTCGGTGGAGCCCACCGTGGGGCCGCGGAACGTGTGAGGCCTGTGCCGAAATTGGTGCGACGCCACATTGCGCGATGCGCCACTGAAGCCTTCGGTGGAGCACACTGTGGGGCCACCAACCGTGAAAGGGGCGTGCCGAACTGGGTGCGACGCCACCATACTAACTGCGCCACTGAGGCCTTCGGTGGAGCACACCTGTCGGGCCACGGAACGTGCGTCAGGTGTGCGATCCGTGGCCCCACAGTGGGCTCCACCGAGGGCAGCAGTGGCGCAGTTCGCCTGGTGGCGTCGCACCCCTGTGTGCCGGAATGTGTGCGCCGCCACTATGCGAACTGCGCCACTAGGGCCGTCGGTGGAGCTCCCTGGGGGCCACCAAACGATTTGAGGGGTGTGCCGAAATGGGTGCCACGCCAGCATGCAAACTGCGCCTCTCGGGCCCTGCAAGGCCACGAAACGTGTGAGGGGTGTGGCGAAACGGGGGCGACGCGACCATGCGAACTGCGCCACTGTGGCCTTTTCAGGTGGAGCTCCCTGTGGGGCCCGAAAACGCGTGAGAGGTGTGACATGGACATGCGGAGCGCATGGGCAGGGATTGGAGGAGGGGGGGAGGGCAGCGGGAAGGACAGAGACGTTGGGCGTGTCTCTGCAAATGGCGACTCACCACCACAACATGGCTGGGAAAAAACACAATTACCCTGGTGAAGGAAGGACCCAACCAAATGCAGCTGTGAAACCGCGTGTGGGTAGCGCTTTCGGTGGCGCTCCCTATAGGGCCACGAAATGCGTAAGGGGTGTCCTGCACTGGGAGGGGGAGGCGCATGCGGCCGCGGACACTGTGGTCTTCGGTGGAGCTCCTTATGGGGCCACGACGCGCTGTGCTGGGCGGGAAGTGCTCGTGCGACTGCGGCCGCTGGGGCCTTCGGCGGAGCTGCTTATGGAGCTACGAAGCGCTGTACTGGGTGGGGGGCACCCATGCGGCCGCGGCCACTGGGGCCTTAGGTGGAGCTCCCTATGGGGCCCCAGAACGTGCACGTGTGAGGAATGTGCCAACATGGGGGGAGGGGGACGGGAGGGGGCGCATTCGAACGGCACCGGTGGGGCCTTAGGTGGAGGTCCTTGTGGGGCCACGAAGCGTGTGAGGGGTGTGCCGAGATGGGTAGCGGGGGCGCATGCGACTAGCACCACCGGGGCCTAAGGTGGAACTCTCCATGGGGCCGCGAAGCGTGGGACGGGTGTGCCGAAATGGGTGGCGGGGACGTGTGCGAACGGCACCACTGGGGCCTCAGGCGGAGCTCCCTAGGGGGCCACGAAACGTGAGAGGGGTGTGCCGCAATGGATGACAGGGATGCATGCGGACGGCACAAATGGGGCTTTAGGTGGAGCTCCCATGGTGACACGAAGCGTATGGGGTGTGTGCCCACATGAAGGGCGCATGCGAACGGCACCACTGGGGCCGTTGGCGGAGCTCCCAAAGGGGCCACGAAGCGTGTGAGGGGAGTGCCGAAATTGGTGGCGGGGACGCATGCGATCGGCACCCTTGGGTCCGTAGGTGGAAGTCCCTATGGGGCCACGAAACGTTTGTGGGGTGTGCCAAGCTGGGTGACGGGGATGTATGCGAACGGCACCGGTGGGGCTTTAAGTGGAGCTCCCCATGGTGTCGCGAAGCGTGTGAGGGGTGCGCCGACATGAGTTGCACGGACGCGTGCGAAAGTCACCATTGGGGCCTTAGGCGGACATCCCCATGGGGACACGACACGTGTGACGGGTATGCCGAAATCGGTGGCGGGGACGCATGGGAACGGCACCACTGGGGGGAGCTCCCTAGGGGGCCACGAAACGTGCGAGGGGTGTGCCGAAATGTGTGGCGCGGAAACATGCGAACGGTGCCCCTGGAATCGTGGGTGGAGCTCCCTGTGGGACCACGACGCGTGTGAGGGCTGTGACGAAATGCGTGATGATGGTAGTGATGATGACGGCGATGATGATGACAGTGGTGGTGACGGTGACGGCAATGGTGATGATGCTGATGATGGTGACGATGATGAAGCTGCTGACGATGGTGGTGATGATGATGCTACAGATGATGCTGAAGATGATGATGCTGCTGATGATGCTGATGATGCTGATGACGATGACGATGACGATGACGATGACGATGACGATGATGATGATGATGATGATGATGATGATGATGATGATGATGATGATGATGATGATGATGATGATGATGATGATGATGATGAGTGGACGAGGGAGGAGGGGAGGAGGAAGGAGAGGAGAGGCGGGGCGCTCTCTCTGCGTAACTAGAGTGGACGCAACACCACAGGATGGTTGGGAGCAGATGATCATTTTAGCCGCTCTCCTGGGACCTGGCAAGAAGGAATAACGCCGACAGGCCATGACGATGCCAATGTGGAACCGATCGGAAATTGCCCCTGGGAAACTCCGGAGCCCACCTGGGGACCTAGCCGGAGAGCCGGCGCCGGACGCGTTGCAACTTCCTCCGATGAGGGGTGGGAAGGGGTACTGACTGCGTCCTACAGGCCTCATCAAAAATGGTTTGAAACGCCGTTCGAAATCGAAACGCCCGATAGATCGGGCACCTGTCAGAAAATGCGTCGTTCAAGAGGGCACTGCTGGATTTCGGACCCACCTGCGCGTGGGCCGAAGCCTCATGCCAACATTGAAATAGCGCCGACCGCGCAAGCATCAAAAACAAAAACCGATAAATTATGTTTGACGAGTCTTGTAGGGTTAGGCCTCCCACGAAGATTTCATGTTCCATGCAAGATCGCCCATCCGCAGCCATTTCACTTGGGCCCGTCCGCCTGGCGAGGAATTTCGCTCACATGCCCGTCGAATGGGTGCAGTCCGAGCTCGCGCTGTCGAGGAGGAAGAGGAGGAGAAGGGGCATGGGCGCTGTGCGATGGTCCTCTGCGGCCCTCTTGGCCACTACGTGTATGCCGCCGCGCCGTTTGCTCTCGACGCGCCCGAATCGACGAAACTGGCATCACTGCAAACCCACGGCAAACTCTGCGCCGGAGGCGGAGTCTGCCCTGGTGCCCGCGGCGCCCTCCCCAAGACGCAAGGCCGCGCGTCGGAACAAAAACGGCGTGGCATGGATCCCTCAGGCAGGATGCAGGGGTGTCTGACCTGGCCGAGGCTCTAGAACATCGGCCAGCAAGGGGGGAGAAAGCCAGATCCGTTCCACTTCGGTCTCTGGGCCCCCCCCCCCGAGGCCTGCCTGGCGCAGCGTGTCGCCCCGGATCCGTTCTCGACGCTCCCGCGGGGCCCCGCAACGGCCCACGAAGGCCGCAAAAACGGCCAAAACACCTGGCCGATCCGGTGCTGGGCCGCCCCCCCCCGGAGAGCCTGGTCTTCAGGGCGTCGTACGTGCCGAACGAGGCGGAGATGGACGGCACCGTGAGCAGCAGCGACGGCCCAAGGCCGCGGTAGAGCCCGGGCAGGCCCTCGCGGCGCAGCGTGGCGGCGATGGCCCGCGCCACGGAGCTGCGCCCCTCGGCGGCCATCGCGCGCGTGCGCAGGAAGTTCGGCGGCTCAAAGTAGACAGGCGCGTCCCACTACTCGCAAAGTTACTGCCCGCAAGTGGCCTGGATCCCCCGGGGGGATCTTCGATAAATTGCATCGAAGCAGACGTGTGTTTTTGCTCGGATGTCTGTGCTAGAGGGCACTCTGCGAGTAGTGGAAGGCGCTCGTGCGACCTAAAGGAAGCACAGAGCCCTGAAGGACGGGGCCCCACAGAAGAGGCAACGATAGCAGCAGCACACAAAACGGCAGGCACGAACAGCGCCAGAAGTTTATGGTGATGACATAGGGTCTCGTAGTTTGAGCCGCAGAGAGGTCCAGCGGGTAGCACGCCACCACCGCGGCGCAGCCGGCGACGGCGCCAGAGAGGCAGCGCCCGTGCCTGCGAGAGACGCGGAGAACGGCACGGGCTGGGCATCGCTTGGCTGGAAGGGCCGATGAGCGAGCAATCACATGTCTACACGCACGCCCTCCTAGGTGGCGCCATCCGAACCCCACCCCCAAAAGAGCCCAGAATCGGATCGACAAGTCGGATCGGCCATTGAACTGAATCGGACCGGCGGAAATCGGCAGCCGAGTCGGGAAAAGTCGAATCGGCGGAAATCGGCAGGCTGGTACGCGTCCAAGAAGACATCGGCACCCAAATCGTAATCCCAGATATCGAATCGAATCGGAGGAGTCGAGATTTATGTCGGGCGTGTCCCCCTACAGGGGGATTTTCGACGAGAAATAAAAAATACCTCAACAATACCCCAAAACATAGGGATTGGGATAGGTTCCAGGCTGGTAAGAGGGGGGGGGGGGGGGTCGAAGTTCGCTGCCGACCTCCGCGGTCCCCGGAGCTGACTGCGACCACGTGTGCATATATGTTGTTGGCCCCTGCGCCCAGGGGGGGGCACAAATGTATGACCTATCGACTCGAATGCCAGGATGTCCCATATTGTGTCCATACGTACGGCCAGCCCGTACAATAAGGACTCACGAGAAGGATGCAAGGGCCTTGGAAGGCCATGCCGACACTTTGCGAGCGGGGCACGGCCAGCGAAAGCGGCCGAGGATGGGCCGCAGGGGAAGGATGCAAAGGTAACCTTGGACGGTCGCTCATCCTTACTATGCGGATTGACTGTGCTCCCCTCCAATTCCCACATTTCTTTCCATTTTCACGGGAATCAACGTTCATGTCTGTGCCACCGTTCCCCTCCCGATGAGAGCGGCACGGGCTGGTCATCGCTTGACCAGGAGCAGACGGCATCGGATCGGGAATCGGATCGGAACGTGCATCGAATCGGGCCCCAGGCGTGCTGGCGCCGCAACAAAAAGATCACGACGGGAAATGTCTGGCCGTCTTGAGCCTCCGGGGGCCTTCGCCGGGTCCTGAGGAAAAACAACTCAGGAGGAAAAACAGGAGGCGGCGCACCACTGAGACCCGCTCCTGGGACGAGGAGGTGCAAACAGCCAGCACCTCCCTCGTCCAGACAAGAAGGAGGGCTGCCGTGGACGAGAGCCCACCTCAGCCCTCACAAAGATCCTCGGCCGAGAGCTCTCGCCGCTGCCGCAGTGCAGACCGCACCGCGGCAGCAGCGGGGGCCCTATTGTCGAGGGTCCCACCCCGCGAAGACGTCATCCCCGAACCGCTCTTGGCCAGGGGTCGGGTCTCCGTGGCGATCCGTTTCCGGTACGATTTCCCTGTTGGTGTGTGTGTGTGTGTTAATACGTTTCGTGTGTGTGTGTGTGGTTGTGTGTATGTTGTATGTGCTTCTGTGTATGTATCTGCGTACATGTATGCGTATGCGTATGTGTATATGCATGTGCGTGTGTACGTATACACATACATGTATGTGTATGCGTGCAGGTGCATGTGGATGTTGTGTATAAGCCATGTGTGCACGCGTGCGTGTATGCCAACGCGTGTGTAGGTGTACCGTGTGTGTATATATGCGTATACACATTATCGCAATATTGAGGTTTGTGTGTGCGCGTAAGGCATACATGCTGGTGGTGTGGCGTAGTGTGTGTGTGTGTGACGACGACGACGACGACGGACGACGACCGATCGACAACGACCGACGACGACAGACGACGACCAGTGCTGCACATCACTTGAACTTCCACGTGCTCCAACGACTGCTTGATCGTGGGGGGACGGTTTTGACATGTTTTGCGGCGCTCCTCTGAATGTTCGTTCCTTTTCTGGATTTCTCGCTTTCGGTTCCCGTTACCCTTCCTCCAGTTACGGAGACCGCCCCCTCCAAAAGTGACGTCCGAATCGAGATATTGCGGAGGCCTTACGGCCAGTGCCGCCGACCCTGATGGGCCATCTTTGGGCCTTTTTTGGGGAGCACCCCCCCGACCAAACTTGGTCGGTGTCGGCGGTTTCGATCGGGACATCCTCACATAATCAGCCAGGCTCTTCTGGGGCTGTCCTAGGGCTGGCTTTCTGGGCTCTCTTGGGCCGACTTGGAGGCCTTTTTAGACCCCCTTGCGTCCCTCTTGGGTCCCTCTTGGGCTCTTCTTGGGCCATCTTTGGGCCGTTTTTGGGGAGCACCCCCCCGACGGCGGTTTCGCTCAGGACATCCTCACACAATCAGCCAGGCTCCTCTGCGCTGTCTTAGGGCACTCTTGGCTCTCTTGGCTCTCTTGGGACGTCCTGGAAACATTGTTTGACCACCTCGGGTCCCTCTTTAGCCCCTCTTGGGCTCTTCTTGGGCCATCTTTGGGCCGTTTTGGGGAACCTCACCCCGACCAAACTTGGTCGGAGTCGGCGGTTTCGCTCAGGACATCCTCAAAAAATCAGCCAGGCTCCTCTGGGGCTGTCTTAGGGCACTCCTGGCTCTCTTGGGCCGTCTTGGAAGCATGTTTTGACCCCATCGGGTCCCTCTTGAGCCCCTCTTGGGCTCTTCTCGGGCCAGTTTTGGGCCTTTTTGGGAGAGCTCCCCCCTGACCAAACTTGGTCGGTGTCGGCGGTTTCGCTCGGGACTTCCTCACAAAATCAGCCAGGCTCCTCCGGGGCTGTCTTAGGGCTGACTCTCTGGGCCCTCTTGGGCCGTCTTGGAGGCCTTTTTAGACCCCCTCGCGCCCTTCTTGGGTCCCTCTTGGGCTCTTCTTGGGTCATCTTTGAGCGGTTTTGGAGGACCCCACCCCGACCAGACTTGGTCGGTGTCGGCGGTTTCGCTCAGGACATCCTCACACAATCAGTCAGGCTCTTCTGGGGCTGTCTTAGGGCACTCTTGGCTCTCTTGGGCCGTTTTTGAAGCCTTTTTAGACCCCCTCGGGGTCCCCTTGGGCCCCGCTTGGGCTCTTCTTGGGCCATCTTTGGGCCGTTTTGGAGGAGTAAGGAGCTGCTCCCCCTCGACCAAAGTTGGTCGGTGTTGGCGGTGTCGCTCGGGACATCCTCACAAAATCAGCCAGGCTCCTCCGGGGCTGTCTCAGGGCACTCTTGGCTCTCTTGGCTCTCTTGGGCCGTCCTGGAAGCCTTTTCTGACCACCTCGGGTCCCTCTTTGGCCCCTCTTGGGCTCGTCTCGGGCCATCTTTGGGCCGTTTTGGGGGACCTCACCCCGACCAAGCTTGGTCGGTGTCGCTGCTCCTGCGCATCGCTGGGGAGAGGATGTGCAGCGTCGGGATCCTCATCACCGTGCTGCCACACCGTATCACAGTCAAGATGCTGGTGTCCGAAGGTGCCCTCGGCCTCGCCTCAGAACTGAATTTTCGAACTGCTGGAACATCCCAGCGCGAACTTCCGTGCTGGGGGCCAGAGTTCACCCCCGAGCAGGCGCCTGAAGGTAGCCTTGCGCACAGGATCCTGGCCATCGCTCGGACAAAAAATGCACACGTCCGAGCGATGCCAAGGATCCGGCACCGAGCTCACACCCCAAACGAAGCGCTCGACCCCAAATATTCTCGGATCCGTGCGCCTCGGGGATGGTGGAGAGCAGCTGCATCATCTGAGCTCGACTGATGCCCTCTCTGAGCTGCTGCCTAACATCGCTGGGAGAGACTAACAACACATTCAAAACCTCGTCATGGTCAGTTTTTATCATATGGGGCCCGACGAGATTCCACCCGACACGGCAAAGGCTGAGGTAAACCGCCCCGACGGGGCCCCGCACTAGCCTCCAAAAGGGCTGCAGAGACAGTGTTTGATGAGCCTTTTGCCAGGCCCTCAACAAATCAACACCGCTCACCCTACGATCCAAGACCCAACAGCAGTAACGAAACACTAACGGAACCGTCGCATCGACCACGGGATCGTAGCTGGGATCGTGATGGGTGGCAAGGCAGGCTGTGTGATTCACCCTGCCTCGGGCTCCCATGAGCTCGGCAGCCAGCGCTCGCAAAAACAGGAGGAGGAGTGGGATGAGGGGGAGGAGGGGGAGCAGGAGGAGGTCGAGGAGGAGGAGGAGGAGGAGGAGGAGGAGGAACGGGTCGGGACCTCCAGGGATCCCGTCTCTAAACACTCTGGACAACGCATGTCGCACGTCTGGAGCTGCATTAGGGAAACAAGCAATGGCATAAACATAAAGCTCTGAGGTCCGCGCGGATTCCTCGGATCGGCGCTGGAGCCGCCTTGGCGGCGCCTCCGGCGCCGCCCCTGGCGCGCTCCGCTCGCCAGGGAGGGGGGTCCAGTGCCGATCCGAGGAATCCGGGCAGACCTTCGAGTTGTTATGTTTGCGTCATTGTTTGGTCCTCCTATGCATGGGCACGGAGTCGGAATCGACTTGGATCGCAGGCGCCAGGATCCAAAGCAACAGCCTGCGAGCATCGGGCCGTATCAGGATGCTGTGGCATCAAGATCGAGTCGGGTCGGTGGGCTGACATACCACGTTTCAATGATGATGTGGATCGGTCAGGCGATGCCGAAGGGCATGACCTCTCCAGGGTCCTCGCGGAGTCCTTGCCTCGGCGTCAGATCCCCGGCCGACTGTACAGGCAGGAGGTGCGTCCCCGCTTCCAGCTCCTGGGGGCCCTCGCTGGGCCCTGGGACCG